CAGGGGGCTCCAGGACCCCTGCCATGACGTCATCATCTTCATCGAGGGTCTTGCTGCGGCAGCAGCTCATGCGGGCTCAGGCACAAGAGCAGGAGAGGCGTGAGCGTCGGGAACAAGCCGCAGCCACTCCCTTCCCCAGCCCTGCACCTGCCTCTCCAGCCATCTCTGTGGTTGGCGTCTCTGCTGGGGGCCACACATTGAGCCGTCCACCACCTGCTCAGGTGCCAAGGGAGGTACTCAAGGTAAGGTGAGGTCCAGAGGCCCTGTGAGTCACTCCTGGTGACTAAGGAGTGGTTCTGGAAGCTAGGGGTGGCCTGGGTTCCCTGCAGCTTTGGGGCAAGGTCCAGGGACCTCTAAGGAAGGTCCCTGAAAGTTTCAGTAGCCTGTGCTTAGATCCTATGTGTTTGGTATTTTTGAAGTTTTCTTGTGGATTTGGGGTTTTAGGGGTTTTTTTGTTTTTTGTTTTTTGATACCAGGGATCGAACTTGGGACATTGCACTTGCCAGGCAGGTGCTTATGCTGCTGAGCTCTCTCCCCAGTGTTCTTGTGGATTTGTAAAGGTTCCCTGCAGTCACTAGGAAGGTTTGGTGGGCCATGGAGGTTCCTGAGTGCTCTAGGTGGGCCCAGTCTTTATAGGATGAAATTGTGTGTGTGTGCATGTGCGTGCATGTGTGTGTGTGAGAGACAGAGAGACAGAGACATACATTGTGAGTTCTTTTGCTGTCATGGTGCCTTGGGAAGCCATGTGTAGTTCCGAGGTATTTTTGGTGGTATCACAGACTAGGGAGGAGTCTAGGAATGTGGGAGTCTGTGGTGAGGAGCTCTACTGTGAAAGATCCTATGGACTGGGTGAATTTTAGGGGCTGTAAAGGATTTCTGAGGAAGGGAATTTGGGTTCATGATCAGACTTACCAGTATTTTTATATATTTTTGCTAGGCACCGTAGTGTACTTCTGTAATCTGAGCATGCTGGGGTGCTGGGGCATAAGGATTGCCTGGGCAGCTAAGGGACTTAGGCAAGACCCTGTCTCAAACTAAAAAAATAAAAAGGGCTGGGGCTGTTTATTCCAGAGTTCAAGTCCTTAGTACTACAAAAAAAATAATTTTTTATTTTATTGTTCTGTAGGATTGAGGATCAATCCCAGAGGCATTCTACCACTAAACTATAGTCTCAGTCACCCACTTTGATTTTGAGACAGGATTTCACTCAGTTGCCCAGGCACAGCTGAAATTTGCAGCCTTTCTGCCTCAGCCTCCCTCAGTTCTTAGATTGCAAGTGTATGCCACCACACCCAGTCACAAATACTTTTTTTAAATTTATTTATGTGTGTGTGTGTGTGTG